TCGAACAATAATCGGGTCGAGTCGAATTCGGGTCCTGTAAATATTAACGGGTTCGAGTTCGAGTTTGCTTCAAACCCAACCCGACCCGACCCTTACGGAGCACTAATGATAATTCCTTTGCCATTTGCTTTTTTCATATTCTGGTAATTTATTCCATTCTTTCGACACCATTTTGCTAAATTCGGTCATATTTACATTTGGAGGTTTATTTTTCAACATTTCTTTACGATACGATATAAAATAGATATATTAGGAGACTTTTTCTTTGCCGTTGGTTTTCCTGGTTGATAAGCGCAGAAGACCAAATTATCGGACATTATAAGGTAAGATTGAGATCGTCAAAAGGCTTTAAAATAATAGTATCGATAAAGTTAAAAGAATTAGGGTAACGATAAGGTATCTTTTTTTTTAATTTTTTTTTTAAAAAATTAAAAATTTTTATACAATGACCGATAATTTATAAATAGTTGAATGAATGGCCAAAAGCAATCATATCATAAAATGAGATATTATTTTAAGCAATGAACTTACGCCGATATGCATCACGTTCTTTATAGAATGTTAGATCTACATATTTATTCGGCGAAGTTTTTTGCTTAAATAATTTCTCATTGAGTATTGAGATGTTGTGGCTATCAAACTCATTGATTTGTTTGTTTATTCCTTTTTTCTTTATTTTATATCCCATTTGGAATAATAGAATTTTAAAAAATATTAAATTATTAAATATTCTAATGTTTGAAATTCATAAAAGGCATAAAATACAATAATGTATAAAATAATACAAAGTAAATAAAAAAAAAATTTAAGTTTATTCAATTAAGTATCTGATTTCGATTTATAATATTTAAAAATATCTCTAACTTTGATAATACTATATAAATCATGTGATTTTCGACTTTTGTTTAAATGTTTAAAAATAATTCCGAAAGAAGATCTAAAGAATTTTTTATTTTGCAAGATTAATTCGATTAATTATTTTTGACCTAAAATTAATCTGTAAGCAGTAAACTGACTTGACTGAGATATAATATATTAATAGACATCGTATGGTTTATAAAAGAATTATATAGAGTACAAATAACAATTAAAAGGCCTTGAATTCCTACAAAAACCAGTTTTTAAATAAATATTTATTCATTTGTCGTTGTAGGTTTTTAGAATCAGCCATATTATTAAAACGTAAGGGTATAAGAAAGTAAAGATCATAGAGAATTTAAGAAACATTCCTTTAGTTATCATAATTTAAGAAGTCATCAAATCTGTCGCATGGTATGGATTGATTTCCCAAAATAATATCGATTTTTCCGAATTCAGTTAGTAATTTGTGATTTTAATGTCAGCTAAATTTGGGGAAAATGTTCGTAGTTGTTAGTATGGAAAAGGCCATTCGACGGCCATCGAATAAAGCTCATTTGTTAAGAACTGATTTTGGATCTGCTTCTTATGAAATAACCATCAATGAGCAAAATTGAATATATCGTAGCGTATAAATATGTTATTGTTAGATTAATCAAAGTTATTCAATAAGTTTTAGTAGAGAGCTTTCTCATCTCACATTTATTTAATTATCTGTTATTTTATTAGTGTTATTTTGTATAAATAAATATCTTTTAACTCATCAGGAGTTTATCTGAGTTTATTATTAATAAGGAATATAATAATTTCCTACTTTTCATATAACTTCTGATTGTGTTGTGAATAAACGTTAAAAAATTGAACGAACTGAATGAACGTTAAGTTTTGATTAAGCTGAACGATAGACAGTATCTGGCACTATAAGTGTTAACTCCTGGAAGTTTAATGCCGACTATATAAAATTAAGAAATACTTTACAATGTAATGTAATAAGAAAAAAAAATCACATTTTGTAGCTTATAAATTACAGACTTATTGATTTAGCGACAGATAAACATAATAAACGACGATGTTTAATGATAAGAAAATTATAAAATTTATTTAATAATGAATTATGAATTGTATAATACATTTAAGAAAAAATTAAAATTCAATATAATGCTGCCTAACCATTTAGCGCATTTGCATCCAAAATTGATCCTTTTTTACTATATATGACTTGTACATTGCAAAAGCATTCTATTCATTAATTATGTATAGATGATTGAAAATTAGTCTTTATATTTTTATAAATTCTACATAGATTTTAGGGATTAAAAAAATTTTTTTAGATTCTCGCCTCACCTCAATTTTAACAAATTCATGATTATTTTTCTTATAATAAAAAATTTTGTCACGTGACTTTATACAATGAAAATAGTCATATACTTTATAATAAAAAAATTTAACATGACATGTAATATAAAGTACATATTAAAAAAAATTATATATATAAAATAAAAACGCAATTCCGCAGTATAATTTATTGTCGATCATATAAACATACAATGATTTTAACGCTTTAAAATCAATGAAAAAGAACCTACATCCTAATGATAATATCGAAATTTGACTAAAATAAAAATAAGAAATACAACTTGAAGAGGGAATTAAAAAACAAAAAATTTCGGAATCTTGCCATTATCGTTAAATTTTTTCCATATATAAATAATTAATGAGAAACTATAAAAATAAAATTTGCCAAACATCTAATAAAAAAAAAAGAACTAAAAATCGTTTGTTGACTATTAAAATTTCGTCGCATTGCATATAATTTGGTAAGACTCTTAACTACAACTGGCATTTATCGTCATGAAATCATAATTGTCCCAAACTATTCTGAAGGATAATCGGTGAGAAATCAATCACCTCTCATTTTAGACTTAAAATTATAAATAGGTTTATTATCTGCTATCAGAACATTAGAGTCCATACTTTCATCAAAGGCAAATTCGTTAACTCGTACGTTCTCTGCATTTGGTAATCTATGATCCTGATTAAATTGATAATTTGTCATCAGTGGGTTAAAGTCTGAGCTTTCGCTGATTTGACCAGCAAAAAAATGGTCGTCGTTCATTGCGTTTGGTAATGTTTGATATCTATTGAATTGGTCAACTAGCATCGAAGGATAAGGGTCCGAACTTTCGCCCATTTGACCAACAACGACACGTTCATCGTTCGTTTCGTTGGGAAATGTTTGATACGGATTGAATTGATCAACTAATATCGAATCCGAATTTTCGCTAGTTTGAACAGCATTTGATAATATTTGATCCCGAATCTTCTGAAAGTTACTTTTTCGATCAGCTTTTTCTTTTTCTGGCATCGCTTTCCACAATTGTGAAATTACTTTACTGTATTCTATCATCGTCATGTTATCCGGTCTAAATTTCATTATTTCTGCACGGTAAACCATGAACATGTTTGGTACTCTACTCCTTGACCTCCTTGTGTACATTTCCAATATATCGGGCGCGTCTGAATTAAGGAAATGGAATGTCATGATTTAATATTTAAATATAGGATGACAAGGAAGTCAATAAAATTTAAAGTTTAAATTTTTGCAAATTAAAAGGAATAAAAACAAAGTAAAGAAAGCATAGGCTAATTTATATATTGATTCACAAAATAAAAATTTTTTGTGTTGCACAAATAGATCTGGAAATCTGCGCCTTTAATTTTAATACAAAATTATACCGTTCAATAAAATTTGTAAATGGCGTGGCGTTATTGGCGTTATTGGCGTTATTGACCTTGCATCTTGTTTATTTTTATTTTTTTTTATTTTTATACAAAGAAAAAAGAATAATCTTTGCAGAAACTTTTAAAATTCTATCCCTTAAATAGTAATGATTTTCGTCCAAATTTAGTAATGCAAAATTCTACATAAAAACTTTACCATTTTTTTTAATTATAGTAATAACTTGGGGTTTATTTTTTATTAGAACTTATAGTCATATTGAAAACTCAATTTTATAATTAAAAGTTAGAAGAGAAATTATACCACACAGATCAAAGCCAAATACTTTATCTTTTAGAAAGAAATGTAATGATAATAAAAATAAATACACATGATTTTCCAAAATAACAATTTGGCAAAGCCATTTTTATAATAATTTATTAACACTTTAATCCATATTTAAAAGTATTAAGAAATTTTCATTTTTTATATAAGTCTGATTCTTAATTTTTTTTAACTTTATCTATTAAAAACAAATTTATTCAAAAATATCATCATAGAAGTACTGTAGAATTTATAATAAAAAAAAAGTAATTATTTAAAAAATTTAGCATGTGTTAAACTTAAATTAGTAGTCAAGTATTCTTTATTATAGCCTGCATTTGTGTTAAATTGAATATGTGTTGGTAGCTTCAAATCATGATATCTCTATAATCAAATCTTTTTTTTTTAATCCAAAGCTCAATATGTATGTATTTGTTTTGTGCAAAGCAGAGGGTGATAAGAAGAAAATTTTTGCAGTTCCTTTGAATCTATTTATATTATTACGTTTATCAACCAATTCAATGTTCCTGATTTATTGTCTAATTGATTCGTTTTAGTGACATTACTTCTATAATTTACGAGACTTAAAGTTTTCAAATCGAAGCATCTTTGTTCACAAAATATAATGGCCAGATGTCTATTATGAAACAAATTAGCCAGTAGACAATTTGGTCAGGAAATAATTAGGCCAACAATCTACAAAAAGTCTAACTACATCTGGAATTTAAATGCGGCGTAATATTCCGTAGATTTACGATTTTTGTAATATTTCAGAGTATTACGTTGTAA